TAAGATATTTATATGACAAGTGAATTGAATAGTCTCTTTGAAAAGTTTTACTTAGGAAGTGGAGATGAATGTTGGGTTTCAAAAATCTGTACATTTAGCCCAGCCAATATGACCTGGTGGTTGAGAGTTGACCCATGAGCCAAGAGGTCATTGGTTTGATTCTGTTAGGGCACATGCCCCGGTTTCGGGCTCAATCCCCAGTGAGGCGCATGGAGGAGGCAGCTGATTAATGTTTCTATCTCATCGATGTTTCTAGCTCTCTCTCTCCCTTCCTCTCTGAAAAATCAATAAAATATATATATATTTTTTTTAAAAAAAAAGAACTGTGGATTTCTAAGGGGTGTCTCTTAAATCCTTCTAATGGAAAACTTACAGAATAACATTATCTGCTGAAACATGGGAAGCACCAGTTTCATTTTTGATAAAATGCCGAGTAATACAGTCATTGTTCTGAAAAATTTTTATTTGGGGAGATGGAGAGAATTCTCAAAACAGACTCATGGCTTAGAAGTAGTTGAGCTGTAACAAGAGCCTGGAGAGACACCATGAAATCAGCCCACGGTGAGGTGGTGGTTCCATCTACTCACATTCAGTGTTACACCAGCCAATAAAGGGCTTTGACAACACAGTGAGTTTTGATATAACTTACTTTAGAGTAGAAAATACCCAGTTAATTTTAAAGTAAATAACTATATAAATTGTATTTTAACTTAGTCTCGTAATAACTGTAGTATATTTAACATATAGTCCCTTAATAAACAAATCAACTTTAACAATAAAGCTTTTTCCTTCATGTTCTAATTAACAAATTTCTTTAACAATTTATAGCTAATTACAATCTACCAGCCCGACCTTGCAATAAATATTCATGTAATATTATTTTAAAAGCCTAAATTCCAGTTGATATGATACCAAAATGTCGCTTAATTTTAACATTCACAGTACTGCTCAGAAATAGGCAGGTCCTGAGGTTCTAGAGAACGAGGTGAGCTCTTGGTGCTTTCACCTGGCATGCGTGGATGATCACAGAATCAAAGAGCTGTGGACTGGTATCAACAGTGCAGGTTGTTGTACTTTTACTTCAAGCTGAGGCTTTTAAATACAGGATACAGGGGTGGGTAAATGTAGGCTTTCAGCTATGAGTACGTGAAACACAGCTTATTTGTATATTATTTATTTGTATTACAACAGTAAACGTACTTTTGCCCACCCCTGTATATGTGCACACATATGTACAAACATGTGTGGATATGGATATACACACTTTTTGATGAAAGAATAACAGCAATATATGTGAACCATTTTTGCCAAATGGATTACATTTGGTTAATAAAGAATGTTTTTTCCATCCATCTATCTAAGTCCAGACCAGCTATGTAGATAGGATGCCCATCCGGAGGAACGGGAAGCATTTTCTTCCTCACCTTTGGGGAGTTAAAAAAAAAAGTATTAATCTTCTCATATTATACTTCGATGTTACGAATCTTTCTGTTCTTAAACTTTCAGTATTTATTGTTTATTGTCTTTCTCTATTAGATAATTCCAAAATAAAGTCTCCAGTGCTATTACATATTATTGAAAATAAAAGTAACTTTTTATATTCTTTTAAAACAGAAGCCTTTACATAACTTAGAACCTAAAACCAATCAATTTATGGTAAACCTCAAAACAAACCCCAAACAACTGTATTTTAAGCATTTAAAAATTAGGCTTATTGAAGTATAATTTACTTACAGTAAAATTCAACCTTTTAAGTGTAGCACCACCCCAACCAAGATATAATGTGTCAAAGTTTACTTGTGCTTGTTTGCCAGCACCCCTGCTACTCCTTCATAACCATTGCTTTGTTTTCTGTCCTTAGTGTTTTTTTTTCCTAGAAATTCATATAAATTGAATCACATTGTATACAGTCTTGTTGAGTCTTACAGTCGTCTTCCACTTGCACAATTCATTCAAGAACCATCCATGCTGCTGTGTGTATCAGTTCACTCTTTTTTTTTTTTCTACTGCTGAGTAGTATTCCATTGTGTGTCTGCACCAGTTTGTTTACTTATTTACCAGTGAAGGATATTTGAGTTGTTTCTAGTTTTTAGCAATTTAAAATGAAGCTGCTATAGTGGGCATGTGCTAGGGGTGGGAGTGGCTGGGGAGAGGTCAATGGGGGAAAAAGGAGACATATGTAATACTTTCAACAATAAAGAATTTAAATTAAAAAAATGAAGCTGTTATAAACATTTGTGCACAGGTATTGTTGTTTTTCGCTAACCCTCACCCCAGGATATTTTTTCCCATTGATTTTTTTTTTCTGAGAGAGTAGAAGGCAGGAAGGGAAGGAGGGAGGGAGAGAATGAGAGACAGAGAGAATCACTGATGTGAAAGAGACACATTCATTGATTACTTCCTGTACGCACCCAGAGCAGGGTGGGGGAAAGAACCTGCAACTCACATACATGCCCTTGACCAGGAATCCAACCGTGACCCTTCGGTGCATGGGCCAAGGATTTAACCACTGAGCCATGCTGGCCAGGGCTGTGCCTAGGTTTTTAATTTAAAAATTTGTGAACTAGTTCACATACCATAAAATTCACCCTTTTAGGGTATATAATTTAGTGGTTTTTAATATGTTCATGAGTTTTGTGTTTTTCTTTGTGTAGACATAGGTTTTCTAAACACATTGGAATGGGACTGTTGCTGTACAGTGAAGGTATGCTTAACTTATCCTTCACTCCTCCCCTCCCCTCCACAGAGGCAACCATCATTACATTTAGCATGTACCCTTCCAGACATCTTTCTGTGTTTTCAGACATATATGTACAGTTGGGTCTCATTCAGAGAAGCATTTTCAAAGTTTTAAATGGAAAAACTCTACAGTTTACACACCACTTTCATTTCTTTTTCTGTTCATTATCTGGTTTTATTCATGCGGGGGGGGGGGGCGAATTTTAGAGGGGTCCCTCAGCCTGGCCTGCACCCTCTCACAGTCTGGGAGCCCTCGGGGGATGTCTGACTGACGGCTTAAGTCGGACATCCTTACCGCTGCTGCAGAGGTGGGAAAGTCTCCCACCACAGCCACTGCGCTTACCAACTGTGAGCACAGCTTCTGGCTGAGTGGTGTACCCCCGTGGGAGCACACTGACCACCAGGGGGCAGCTCCTGCATTGAGCGTCTGCCCCCTAGTGGTCAGCGCACATCATAGCAACTGGTTGTTCTGCCGCCAGGCGGAAACCGGCTCTCTGACATCCCCCAAGGGGTCCCAGATTGCGAGAGGGAACAGGCCAGGCTGAGGGACCCCACCACTGCACTATCAGGGCCAGGGAGGACATGGGAGATTGGCCAGCCAGGGAGGGACCGGGGAAGGCTCCAGCCCATCTCGCTCAGTCCCAATCAGTCGGATCCCAACAGCAAGCTAATCTATTGGTTGGAGCTTCTGCCCCCTGGTGGTCAGTGCACGTCATAGCGACTGGTTGACTGGTCAATTGTCTGCCCCCTGGTGGTCAGTGCACATCATAGTGAGCAGTTGAGCAGCCTTAGCATATCAGTAGCATATTACGCTTTGATTGGTTGAATGGCCAAATGGATGACTGGACACTTAGCATATTAGGCTTTTATTATATAGGATTAGTTATGAACTGCTATAGACCAAATTACCACAAACTTATCAGCTTAAAATACATTTAGTCACTCAGTTTTTGTGAGGCAGGAGTCCAGGAATGGCTTCGCTGGGTCCTCTGTCTCAAGGTCTCTCAAATATCTACAATCAAGGCATCTTCCAGGGACAGGCTTTCACATGAAGGAACAAAGGAGAAGGATCTGCTTCAAGTCACAGTAGATGGCAGAACTCAGTTCCTCAAGAGCTGCTAGAAGGATGGCCTTAGTTCATTGCCACATGAGCCCCTCCAATATGGCAGCTTGTGCCAATAAAGTGCGTAAGTGGACAAGATAGAGAGTCTGCTAGCAAGACAGAAGTCACAGTCTCTTACAACCTGTATGTAACATACTACCACTTTCGCTATATTCTACTGGCTACAATGAGTCACCAGGCCAGCTTACTGGCCATTTAAGGGGAGAGGATTACATAAAGGCACAGATACATGGAGGAGCGATTAATGGGGCAGGAGGCCTTGTAGAAGTCTGTCTTCCACAATCTGCAAGAAGAGCTTCTAGATAGCTATTTAGGGATAGATAACTGGGCACTGACTCTGCTTTCTCCCATCAGAGGAGGCGGCTTTGTTCCCAGGAACAATGAGAGCTGGGAGACTGTACACATTTCCCAATACAAAATGTAGAGATTATTGTGTGCTCATCTCGAATAAATGATATACTCTGAATATAGGTCTTGTGACACAATAAAACTCAATCTGTGTTCTCAGATCTGGCATGTCCCTGCTCTGTCAATATTCCTGGCAGCTACTCATCATCAAGTAAATAACCAGAGCAGAGCCATGCTAAGATATGGTGCCTTTGCTCTTGCCCTGAGCAATTGTTCTGTTCTGATAAGGTTCTACAGCCTCTGCAGATCCAACCAGGCACTTACAGTGAGTATGTCAGCGTGCACTGAAGGGTCAAGGGTTCGATTTCTGGTGAGGGCACATGCCCAGGTTGTGGGTTCGATCCCCTGTGTGTGGAGGCAACTGATGGATGTTTCTCTCTCTCTCTTCCTTCCTCTCTCTCAAATCAATAAAAATATATCCTCAGGTGAGGATTAAAAAAAAAGCTTATGATAGTCTTTGCTTTTTCCCCATTGTGTTTGTTGGACTTTTTCCTCTTTATGTGTACACAATGTTGGACCTTGGTATATAAGTAACAATATACAGCTCTGTAAATGATAACCTAGTTAGGGAGTAAAGATGTACAGATGCAACTTTTAGTTCTGGCCAGAGCAGCAGAGCTGAGATTCCAGTTTTGCACAGGGAAGTACTATGTAATTAACATATCTGGAGAGCAGAGCTGATTTATCACAAGTTGTTCTCAAGTGAACTGCAATCTGTGAGTTGCGCTGGGATCTGATAAGCAGGGAGCAAGCTGAGTTAACATTTACATTGCAAGTAGAGTGACAATATTTTCTCAGCAGTGTCTTCTTCATGTCACATTTTTGGGACTAATGTGGCACTTTATGTTGTGTTACTTATATAGAGATGTAACAGGCAGCAACCAGGAGCTCGTAACACTTGCTTGGGGTGCAAGTTGGGCCCTTAAGAGGTGTTTATCATAAGGATTTTAATGTCACTTATCAGAGTTGGATAACCTTATTCCCTAAACTAATGCTTCTCAAATATTTGTGACCTACACCCCTAGGAGAAAAAAAAGACATTTTATATTAGGAACTGACACAGTCAGACAAATAATCAATATCCATACATATACCTAGATAGTGTCAAGAAATAATTCTTATTCTTACTAAATTCAATGTATTCTGATGTGTCTTTTTTTTTTTTCAAACCCTCACTTGAGGATATGTTCATTTTATGAGCTTAACAATAACTCACAACCGTCGGACCAACTAGGATATGTTCATTTTAGAGAGAGGAAGGAAGAGGGAGAGGGTGAGAAACATCAATGAACAAAATTTAAAAGTTGTAATTTTAAGTCATAGTGTTAAGAAAAAGATTTTAAGTATACACACAAAGTCTCAACCACAAGACAACATTTAGTGTAAGTCATAAAACAAGTTTTAAGACTTTGCTTCACATACCTTGAGCAATTGCAACAAGTTTTCCCTTTTCTTCAGGGCTGAGCTGTAACATTGTGTCTATGACAGGAAGAAGCCTCTCTCTTTCACTACCTGGTTTTAGGAAAATGAACTGCAGCAAGACATTCTTCAAGTACTCCAGGTTAGCTACGGACTTCTCTCGCTCTTGATTTCTTTCCAATCTTCTAACTTCACTTTTGAGAAGCTAGTATTAGAGAAATGACTTAAAAGTGGGTTTTAGGAGCTCTGGTTAAACATGGCAGACTGAATACATGCATTTTTCTTCTCTTCCCCCTGTCATGCCCCCAAAATGACAATAATGGAGAGCCTAAGAGAGGAGAAAAATGTAGATGAGAAATATCAAGGAAGTCCCAGAAAATGGGAGACCAGCTGCTGACCAAGTACCAGAGACAAAGAGGAGAGAATGGATTCCACAGAAACACAGAGAATCTCCTGCCTCAGAAGTACAGGTTACCATGGAAACTGAGGACTACATAAAGTCTATATAGGTTAGTACCAGATGTTCCCTCTACCTGTGTACTCTCTATAGAAACTAAGCCAGAGGGCTCAGGGCTTTGGGTTGCTAAACACATTTTAAGGAGTGCAAGCCAGTCTAAGAGCAGGGGCTGAGTGAACATCTGTATCCACCACCAACCCCTTTCCCTGCCCTGCTCCCAGAACCCCCAGTGGTTAAGATGCATACAATAAAATTATGTTTACATGATGAACAGCATTTCACGAAAAATAAAGTCTATTTTAGGATAGAGTGAAAATTCTGGAGTGCAAGATAATCTAAAATACAAGGAAAATGGAGCAAAAGATATGAAGAAGATGGTAGAATGTTAGTCTTTGAGGAATATTTCTGGGTTGAAACAAAAAAATATATATTGTTTTAGTTCATCATTTTATAGGTTAGTCCAGGAAAGTTAGCCAACTCTGTCCTAAAACCCAGGGCCATTTAAGAAAAGTGACAATAAGGTCTAAGAAATCATATGAGAATGTATATTTGTGGAAATAAAAATATAAATAGTCACTTAGGTTCATGGGATTAGTGATTTGTTAGATGTGATAATATTTTGACTATGTGGGAAAATGTTGTTTTTTTTTTTTATAGAGATGCATACTAAAATAGTTAGTAATGGGATGTCATAATATATTTAAACAGAGGCCCGGTGCACGGATCCCTTGGCCTGGCTTGCTTCCTCTTGCAATCTGGGACCCCTTGGGGGATGCTGGAGACCCGGTTTCGGCCCGATCCCCACAGGCCAGGCTGAGGAACCCCACTGGTGCATAAATCTGTGCACCGGGCCTCTAGTATGCATATAAGATCTTTAGTTAATCTCTTCCTGCCCTCCCCCCTTCCCTCTGAGATTCATCAGTCTGTTCCATGTTTCCATGCCTGTGTGTTGAGCATCTGCCCCCTGGTGGTCAGTGTGTGTAATAGCTACCGGTCAAATGGTCGGACACTTAGCATATTAGCCTTTTACATATATAGATGTACTGCAAATAACTGAATAACTTGGCATTAAAAAAGTTATTTTGACAAGGACAACTGGTGGTCCTGCATGGCACAGGCAGAAGCATGTGTTTCTTGGAAAGCCAGGGGTTGGTTGGAATTTTGCTCCACCATTTATCAGCTTCAGGTGTTCTTTTCAGTGCTTTTGTTAGAAAGGACAAGGGTCTCAAGGTCTGGTGGTTCTCACTAAATGCTATTCTTGCTAAATGTTAAAAACCCAGGGCCTGGCTCATGAGAACTACTCAACAAGTAGTATGACAATATTTAGAGAGTCTATATACCATTGAGCTAGGGTGGACTATATAATTTGTGAAATCCTCAACTGCTCCACAATATATCTTGTTCCTACACATTTCTGGTGTCTTTAAAGGAGGAAAAACTCCCTATGCTATTTTACCATCTGTGGAAAGTAGTTTAGTGCCATAAATAGCAGAATAATCTGAATAAGAAATGTTCCATGGTTTACCTTTAAATACCCATTTAAGTTTTATTTAAGTACATGTAGAATAATGACTTGTGAACATATGTCTACACTCTAAATCTATTACATTTCTTAGAAAAAGTAGGAGTTAAAATAGTATTTATATAATAGATATAAAAGCAATTAATATTTCTTGATTTCGGGAATGTAATACCATTAGGAATCAAGATGTTATGGATACACCTGATCTGTGAATTTTTAAACTTAGATAAGTGTGTGTAGAGGGCCAAGAAACCCAAATTGCATTTTCTTTGGCAGTTTTTGAGCCTTACCTTAATTTGCTCCATAAGGATTGCATTGGTTGCTTCCGTTTCCCGAAGCAGGCCATTTAAATGATCGGCACTTTTTGTTGTGGAACTGAGCTTTTGCATCAATTCTTCTTTGGTAAATTCAACATGCCACAAAGGAGGCTCTGTAAGATGTTGTTCCAGTAATTAATTTTCAAAATCAAGATTACAGATGAAGATTCTAAATAAGAGAAATATCTTAGTACAGATATTTTGCCCTGCAATATTACATAGGTCCACTTTCTTTGCCATTCCTCTAGTCATCATAACGGAGTTAAAAACTTACATGTTAAATGTAACAAAGACAATCTCTGTTGTAAGGCATATAATCTAATTACACATAAGTTCTATGAGCCCCAATTCTGCAATTTATTAGGCTTTTATTTATAAATCATTTTTATTAGTTTTATCACTCAACCTCTTCTATCTATTGATGTTCCAAGAGCTTGTGTCATTTTACTTATAAATGAAGTAGTAACATTTACTGATCACTCATATCATGGCGCCTCAAGAATTTTATATGAGGTGCAGTTATTATTATTCAAATTTTACAAATTTTGAAACAAGCTTAGAGTCAACAAGTAATTTTGGCAAAATCACAAAGCCAAGTCTGATTCTAGGGTCTAGTGCCACTCTATAGTGATGCTTCCATCTCACCACTATTAACTTCACTTAAGGAACCAGGAGTACAGCCTCTACCCACATCATAATCAATGATTGTGGATAATCAAGGACTCCAGATCCTGAAACTTCAGAAAGATGATAGATTCCCCCTGAATTGTGAACATTAGTTAGTATTCATTACAGGTAAGAAAAATATACCACAACTTCACTAGTATATGGAAGAAGGCAAATTTAGCACTACTGCTTTATCGAGAGGAATAAAATTGTTTCTTAGAATGGTGAGAGAATATCATACTTTGTAATACTACCTTAGAAATTGCAGCTATCTATTTCTGGCTCAAGCTTAGGCAGGACTAATTTTAATTAAGCAATTTTTTTCTTCCTTCACCCCGCAGGAAAGTTTTCCATTTGAAAACGGGTGGAACACTGAAAGAAATTTTACTGGAGTAGATATAAAAGCATTTGTAATTTTGAGTAATACTGATTAGACAAGACAGTAAAATTAAATAAAAACATACTTAAACAGAGGAACATACCAAGTTTAGTTTCGGGAGAATTAAGAAGCTGCTCTAAAGACTGCGTGTGAGTGCCAGTGGAAGATACAGACTCTGTATCAGTGGTCTCCATCCCTTCTCCCTCCTCACGGGTTATACAATGCATGTCGAGCAGGGGGAGATCTGTGTTTCTCTTTTCTCGAAGGTTCTTCACAGGTTGGTGGAAAGAAGCTAGGCCTTTTTTTTTTTTTTAAAAGGGGAAGTGAGAGAGTGTTCAAAATTGATAAATTCAGCATTAACTGAGATACACAATAAAATTAAAATGATCCTAGGAATGTCAGATGATATGACAAGGAATTTGAATAAATAGAATAAAAAGTAAATGATGTATAAAAAAAAATTTCTAAAACAGTCCTAAAAACTGAACTTGTAACCACACTTAAGTCATTTCAGCAGAAGCTATAAATTAATTACTACTAGTTAGATATGATAAACTATTAGATAACACAAAGCTCACAATAGAGAGACCTCAACATTGGTAGAAATTCTAAAACTAGATTCCAGCTATTTTTGAGGATTAGATATTTCAGCTGGCTGCATACTTTCTGACACAACAGACTTGCTGATGTCTGCTCAGCAAACGTTCTTGTTGATCACTGCCCTTATACCTCTACTGATTCCTACCACTGTCTAGATCAGTGTTCAGGCAAGAAGAACCTAGAGTTCAGGACAGGGAACTAATCAGCACTAATTCACGGGCAAGGCTCTCCTGCTTGCTGGTAGTGAACACTTGCATAGAAACATACGGTTGGTAAGACACTTTCAAATACATCACATTATTGATCCCAAGAAACCTGAAGTTCAGAGAAAGTAAATGACTTTGCCCAGGGTCTCAGAGCTGGGTCAGGGACCAGAATTCTAACCCAGGTTTTTTAACTTCAAATTTCACTATTTCCCATTCCGTGAAGTTACCTCCTATTTTCTTTTAATATATTTTGTTGATTTCAGAGAGGAAGGGAGAGGGAGAGAGACAGAAACATCAAGGAGAGAGAACTATTGATCAATCCACACTGGGGATTGAGCCCACAACCCTGACCACGAATCAAACTGTGACCTCGTTCATGGGTCAACGACCAACCACTGAGACATGCTGGCTTGATGGCCTCCCATTTTCTTTCAAACATTAGCCCTCTGGCTACATTTGTTGAGGCATTTTCCTGGATTTCTGATATTTTCCTAACTGCTATTCTACTGCTTATTCTTAGACTACACTCTCTTATGCAACCCATGTTTCCCTGGCTGAAATACAAGTGAGTTTATTGTATAAAAAGGATTTTACATTTTTTCCCATACACACGCAATTAGTGCCGCAGTTTTGGCATATGTCCGAAAAAATACGTCAGCAGCCAAACGGTTAATACTAAAATGTAGCCTCATTTGGGCTGACATATTTCCATCTCTTCCAGAAAGTAGACTGCTACTGGGTGAGGCTGAACTAAAACTCCAACTAATCAGAAACTTGAGAGGGAAGATCTGTATTGGCCAACCAATCCTGTAAGTTCAGTGCTGCTTGAGTGCTTTCAAGCCTCTTGCTCTCTTAATATTTCTAATTAAGAAATACATACATTTTGATGACTAGTGAATAACACCAAACAAATCCAGTGAACATTTAAATCTGACAGGTCATGAGACTGACACAGTATGTTGGAGTCAGAGAAAGGAAATACTCTATTACATGGAGGTTGACAAATACATGAAAATCAATATTCTCTGGTTACATAGGCTGGTTTAAGCACAATCAAGAATGGTTCCAATATCTTCTCTGTGAGCAAATCTAAAATTCATTAATCACAGAATCAATACTGGCTGTCACCTAGTAAATTTTCTATTTTCTTAAGAATTTGTGAAGAATGTATTTGAGTGACATAAATACATGAGAACATAAACAATGATTGTTTCCATGTGTACATACATACTTTTTGTGGTCGATTCACTCTTAAGCTGGAAAAGCTGAGTTTCCACCTTGGAGAGCTGTTGCTGCAAAGTTTCCACTGTCTTTCTGTGCTCATCCTGCAAGTGCCTCATTTGATCTCGGAAGCTGCTGCGAAGGACCTCATTCTGGGATGTCAGGTGACTCACAGTTTGTGCATGTTCAGACTTCATCATCATGTTCTCTGATTGTATTGAACATAACCTGAAGGGTGACAGGCACGTAATTCATATGAGATCTTTCAACTTAAGATGCCGACTCAGCCTTTCTTAACTGGGCCCTGCAAGACAATTAGCCCTAAGACAGGAATGAACTTCTCTCCTATGCATCTAAGATGGGACTAGTTGTGTAACAATCTGGGGAGAAATGACACTGGCTGTCATCTAGTTCAAATCCTAGTCTATGTTCCGTAGTTCAGAGAGGAACCTTGGTTGAGGAACTATGTTGTATGGTTTAGATAAGAAACTTCCTTCATAGTTTAGCAGAAAAAAGCACTATATTTAGGGCATAAATATTATACTTTTAATTAGTGCACTTTGGGTTATCTTATGTGGTAGCTCATACAAATACAGGATTAATATATGTTTCGATTATCCCAAAACACACAAAAAGAACACTCTTTTGATTCATAAGGAAAGCCTTAAAGGAAAGCATCGCCTTCTGAGCGAATTAACATGACACTCCGAAACACAAAGACTTAGCTTACTATAACCGCTTCTGAATTTCCCTGCACCCAGGTGCCCAATTAAAAATACAGGCATCTGGTTCTCTTCCTCGAGCCACTGAATTACAATATCCAAAGGTAATTCTAGGAGTTGCCTACTTTTAGCAGTTTTCCGTGGGATTTTTATGTAGTCAGACTGATACTAGTAAGGGACCTACTATTTGGAAACTACTATTTTTAATAGCTTAGTTGTAGTATTGATGTTCTATGTTTGACTTTGGTAAAACAAAACATTTTTTTTTTTTTACACAAGGGATCCACAAGTACACTACCATAAAAATTTAAACAATACAGAAGCAATTATAGAAAAATAGTTAAATCCCTCTTTTTATTCACACCTCCCTACTCCTACAGTGTAAAACCCCAACTTCAGGGGTAAAATTCATTAATGGTCTAGCATGTAGCTTTCCAAAATCTCTTTTGTATGTGTTACACATATAGACACCACATACGGTTTTAAACAAGATTTAGTTGCTAAAGGGGGACATATGCAATAAAGAATCATACTTCAGAAAAGGTGCTTGTTTTATCAATCCTCACCTGAGGGTATTTTTTCCATTGGTTCTTTCAGAGAATAGAAGGGAGGGGGAGAAACAGAGAGAGGGAAACATCCATCTGTGAGAGAGATGCATCAATTGGCTGCCTCCCACATATGCCCCAACTGGGGCCAGGGATTGAGCCTGCAACAGAGGAGGGACGTGCCCTTGACGAGAATTGAGCCAGTGACCCTGATAATATGTTTTTATTGATTTTTAGAGAGAGAGAGGAATGGGGAGAGAGAGAGAAAGAAACATTGACGTGAGAGAGAAACCCTGATCACTTACTTACCATATGCACCCCGAATGGTGATCAAACTTGCAACCTGGGTATGTGCCCTGACCGGGAATCAAACCTGAGAGCCTTTGGTGCATGGGACAACATTCCGATCAACTGAGCCACACCAGCTAGGGCCAGAAAGGTATCTTAATTGCCAAATTCATATCAATTAATGAGCTTAAAGAATGATAGTATATATGCTACCCCTTAACCCTGCATTTTCCTGCAAGAATTTTGTTTAATATGTACCAAGGAAGTAAAGAAAGAACCATTAGCTATCATAACAATTTTCTAAAGAAGATAAAAGCTGCATTTTAGAACTAGGGTTTTCAGGTGGTGTCAGTGACACTTCTGAATCTGCCTGTTTGAGAGAAGTAGAAGTTTAAGTCACATCTGGAACTGGAACAACTGTGATGATGATGAAAGTCCTCTGTTCTTGTCCCAGCTGTTACTGGGGTGTTTTTATTAATTAGGTCTCTATTTATTCCTTTACCACTTAAAAAATTCTCATACAGTAAAGTATGAATATTAAAATGTTTAAAACAGAGAATATATAAAGAAAAGGCTATTTGTTTGGGCTAGGGCACAGACAGCACAATATCATTAGAGGAAGAGAGAGAGAGAGACATCGATTTCTGGTTCCACTTATTCATGCACTCATTGGTTGCCTCTTGTATGTGCCATGACCAGGGATCGCACACACAACCTTGATGTACTGGGTCAATATATCAACTGAACTACCTGGCTAGGTCAATAATATCATTAGTTTTCATATTTTGGGGGAAGACTCTTATAAATATCTCAAAATGCTAAGAACACTGTCCAGCACTTAGAAAAGTGGCTGGCACATAGTAGGTGCTCAAAAACATTTATGGAATGACTGAATTACTTCAGAGGCATCACTTGCACTTTATTTGTGTTAGCAATATAGTTAGCAATAACTTTTCTAGAGTAAAGAGTAAGTGTTGGAAATTTCTGAAGTAAACATCAAGTATATACATCATTATAATGTAAACTAACCTCATGGTAAACCCTAGTGATAGAAAATTGATAGATCTTTCCTGAAACTTTTGATTTATGAAATTAACATACATAAATCACACTGTTAAAAGATTAAAAAGCCAAAAAAATAAAATGCTTTAACTTTTAAGATTAGTATACAATTGGGCATGTATTATAAACACATCTGAGATACATAAAGTACCTTTGATGAAAGACACTCAATGAAGAATCCTTTTCCTCAACCTAGGATACAATTAACATTACCACTCAATTTCTTTATGACAAGAATTCAAAGTTTACAATAATCTACTTTTCTGCCAATACCCCTAATGTCTATTTATACTGATTAACAAAAGTAACAAGTTGAAGACAGAGCTGCAAAGGTAGGCTGCATATTCTTTTTAGACAGCAGCTATTTTTTTACATGTTTTCCTCTAAAGAGAGAAAAAAATACTTGTAATTTGACACACGGTAGCAAGGTAGTGTTTTTTTTTAAGGGAACATTCTGGCCATGAAGGTTACAGGAAAGACAGAGTATTGAATAAATACTTTCTCTTAAACAAGCTAAGAACAAAAATAACCAAAAGGGAGAGTTTTAAGATGGAAACTTCAAAGGCAGAAATATTTTGCTGCCTGGTACAAACACTGTTAGTGCTGTTAGCGACCGTACTTTTCCCGGAGTTCTGCCTCTTTGGACACGGTTTCCTGCAGCATCTTGTTGTGCCTTTCTAGCAGAGTATCATGTTCAGACTGTAATGTCTGAAGTTCAGACACATTGATCTGTAAATTATTTTGGGTATCTTGTAATTTGATCTTTAGTTGGTCAACCAGCATTTCCAGGTGTTCTCTAAAATAAACAGAAATAAACAGTTTAAAATATTTTTGAAAGAAGTGAACATGATTAAAATTTTACTTTTAATCTTTCAATGTCAGACTTTTGCTATTATTATGGATGATTCCAAAGTAAATAAAATAATCAGAAGAATTCAGAGACTAGAGTTAAATATGATGCAAAAGACATTGTCAGATTTTAGATCTCAGGCACTTCAGGTTTAAACTAATAAGTTTCATATTCAAAAGGGGCAGACCATTACAAGGCATCAAAATAACATATTTTATGTTGTAGGACTATGCCATTAATTTAAAAAGAAAAAAAAATAACACAGTTCTAAGTTAATCATTATGAGAATGGTAGATTAGATCAAGTTATAGTTAAACAAGTCCTTGGAGAAAAACAAACAAAAAAGTACTTGGAGAAAGAAAGTCCCTGGAGAACTTGGACTCTGTATCTAGATCTCGAATTCCAACCAGTAACTCTACCACAACTAGTACAGTACACTATAGTGATTAGTTTCTTTTTTTTTTTAAGTAATGTATAAGAAAGTAGAAGGGGTCAGTCCCCTCTGCCTCTGCCACCACCCCTCTGCCAGTGCTCCAGAGCCACTTGCCACTCAGGCAAGTGGTCTGGCGGGGGAGGGAGCGAGGCCAGTGGTCCTGCGTGCTCTGCACAGCAGCTCCATGGGATCAGTGTGAGGCGTCCTGTGTTCTGAGGACATTCCCACGGCTGCACTGAGAGAACCCATCTTCCGTGGACTGGAAATTCCTGGAGAGCTGCGTTTGTGAACAGCTGGCAGTAATTTCCTAAGTCCCATCTCTTCATTTTCCTTTGTGTTGCATTTTGGAACATCCAGAAACCATGAACACGAACAACATTAGCAATGAAGAGTTTGACTGCCATTTCCTTGATGAGGGCTTTACTGTCAAGGACATTCTGGACCAAAAAATTAATGAATTCTCTTCTTCCGATGATAAGGATGCCTTCTATGTTGCAGACGTGGGAGACATTCTAAAGAAACATCTGAGATGGCTAAAAGCTCTTCCTCGGGTCACCCCATTATGCAGTCAAATGCAATGACAGCAGGGCCATAGTGAAGGCCCTAGCCGCCATCCGGATGGGATTGGACTGTGCCGGCAAGACTGAAATACAGTTGGTTCAGAGTCTTGAGGTGTCTCCAGAGAGGATCACCTATGCAAACCCTTGTAAACAAGCGTCTCAGATTAAATATGCTGCCAATAACAGAGTCCAGATGATGACTTTCAATAGTGAAGTTGAGCTGATGAAAGCTGCCAGGGCACATCAAAGGCAAAGCTGGTTTGTGTAATCAACCCAGCGCTGGACAAGTATTTTCCATCAGACTCGGGAGTGACACTTGTAGCTGAGCCAGGCAGGTACTATGTTGCATCAGCATTCATACTTGCAGTTAATATCATTGCCAAAAAACTGGTCTTAAAGAACAAACAGGCTCTGATGATGAAGATGAGTTGAGCAAGAAAACCTTTATGTATTATGAGAATGATGGAGTACATGGATCATGTAATTGCATTCTCTATGACTATGCGCACATGAAGCCCCTTCTGCAGAAGAGGCCTAAACCAGATGAGAAGTATTACTCATCCAGCATCTGGGGACCCATCTGTGATGGCCTCAATCGCATCTTTGAGCACTGTGGCTTGTCTGAGATGCACGTGGGAGACTGGATGCTCTTTGAAAACATGGGTGCTTACACCATGGCTGCTGCTTCTACTTTTAATAAATTTCAGAGGCTGACTATCTATTATGTGATGTCAGGGCCGACATGGCACCTGATGTAGCAAGTCCAGAACCGAGACTTCCGGCCCAAGACAGAGGAGGATGTCGGCACCCTACCTGTGTCCTATGCCTGGGAGAGTGGGATGGAACGCCTCCCGGCAGCCTGCATATCAGCTCCCATTAACGTAGAAGCCATTCTTGTAACTGTTATGCGACTGTAGCTTGACTTAAGGGATTTGGGGAGGGGATCATTAACTTAATGATTGCTAGTTTGAAATGTCTTTGTAAGTGGGGTTGGCATAGATGGAACAAGGTGGAAGGCCTAGGTGATGGGGGTCACACTTATCTGTGTTCCTATGGAAACTATATGGATGTTTGTTTTATATGGATTTTTATACAATTCTCAAACATGCTATGAGAGAGCCCCTTAGCTGCCAGGCAAGCATTTGTAGCTTATGCATTGGCAGAACTGGCCCAAGACTTAGTGTTGTGACCTGTTTTAACAATAAAGCACTTTGGAAATTAGGCATTGAAAAAAAGAAAAAGAAAGTAGAAGGAACATATAACACTCATATTAAAATAATGTGAACCGCAAATTCTGGCACAATTAAAAAGTCAAGTCTTGGAAATGGTGACATTTTTATATTGTGTAAATATTCAACTTTAGCTTTAAGATGAGCTATTGATAGAGAAAATATCTCATCATTTTCATCCTATAGTTGCTATTTTTAATGGACACCTAAACAAAAATTAATACAAGCAAAAACATACAAATACTGCAGGATATTTAGTTCTATTTGGAACAGTAAGAGTCAGATGTAAAACTGCTTTAACACTGAACTTCTACTTATAAAAAGAAAATACACATGCTGTAGAATGCCCTATCATTTATTCCTAGCATATTTTAAAATAATTTACAAAAGTATGCTAGTTTTAAGAAAGCATTAAACAATACACTATTGAAATAGTAACTGAGATGATCATAAACTTAAGAAAATCCAATTCTAGACCAAAAATTTAGTACTTAATTTAAAACTTGTGAAATAAGTAAAATTTTAGGAAACTTCTGTTTAGCATAATTAATGGTGAATAAATATATCGTGTAAACCTTTTTATTCTTGTATTTCTAAACTTTAAAGATTGGGAAACTTACAATGTAACTTCATCTCTGTTTCACTACGACCAGATTCTACTGCAAGGTGAAAATATTATGCCTGTATTTCAAAGCCTGTAGCCTGGTTTCACTGTTTCCTTTACAAATATTTTTGAGTTTGTAACAGTGCTTTTCACAGTGACCTTTCCCTGCTGCTGTCTGGAACACAGTGAAGCCAATACCTTTCCTGTTGTTGACTACATGTAAAATACCAGTCAAAAGAAATCAAAGTAGGATTTTCAACCTACTGGGTGAAGAATGTGCCATGGGGAGAAAAACCCTGCATGTTTCCTATAATTCAGACTTTACCTTTCTTGTTTAGCTTCCTCAGTTTCACCCTGAAAGGCAGATTTATTTTTCTGTTGTTTCAGAACATTATGAACTCGGACTTTGTAGCTTTCAAATTCAGAGGTTATAGCAGCTTGTTCCACCTATAGTATTTAAAAGAGAGAAAAATTTTCTATTGCATTTTCTTAAAAAAAAAAAAAATACATATATATATATATACATATATATATACACAGACATATATATTTTTTATTGATCTCAGAGAGGAAGGGAGGTGGAGTGAAGGAAACATAAATGATGAGAAAGAATCATTGATTGGATGCCTTCTGCATACCCCACACTGGGGATTGAACCCACAACCCAGGCATGTGTCCTGACTGGGAATTGAACCGTGACTTCCTGGTTCATAGGTTGACTCTCAACCACTGAGCAACGATGGCTGGGCACATTTTCTATTGTAACATGATCCTCTATTGTCTTTCAGAGGGTAATGCATTAAGATGACAACTTGTTTTTGAAAATGAGGACAATGGCTAACACCTTTTAGCCTCTAATTATTAACTTCGGCTAAAAATTGTGCTTGGTCTTACACTTTTTAAAAGATTTTGAATGATGTAATTTTGTCTAACTAGAGATATGCATCTACCATGTTTTATTCCCTGTGTGGACCGAGAAAGAAGATACCTATTAAGAAGGGCTCCTGGTGCTAAATGGCTCAAATTTTAAAGTACAAAGCCCAGAAGATCTTGGTGTAGGTGAAAGCCTGTACTCATTGCCTCCCACAACCAATCAAAATTACAACTAAAATACAGAACAACCATCATTCAGAACTGCCTGAAAGCTGCCTGAATGGAAGTCCTACAACTAGAGAAATAAATAAGAAAGCACTTTGAGCCGAATAGGAGGGGCGAAGGTGCAGAACGGGCTGGTCCGGCTAGGGTGTGAAGGCCTCGGGTGGGAACTGGGTGGAGAGGGACAATGGGTGGAAAAAAGGGGGACATCTGTAATACTCTCAACAATAAAGATTTTTAAAAATAAACAATAAAAACAAACCAATGGAAACAATAAATCAGGCCAATGGGACAAATGAAAAAATAAATTTTAAATCACACACACAAAATAAAGCTGTTTAAAAAAAAAAAAAAAAAAAGAAAGCACTTTGAGACTGGTAGGAGAGGTGGAGGCACAGAAGGGGTTGGTCCGACGCCCTTGTGTGCCCTTTATTTAATCGAAGTGAGATCGTCTCTGTGGAGGCTACCAGCGTGGAGCAAGGCCTCCTAGCCCCACACCAAACCTCCCAGCCCAGGCTCCCAGAGATGGGGAGAGAAGTCCCTAT